TATACGGGACTTGAGAATCCACAGATTTCAATATCTGCAGGGGATCCTGGAGCCAATCTCTTGCTGATGCAGATATCTACTCTAATATATTTCAAAAATGGCCACTACTTGTTACTATTTTCATGTACTTTTGCATGAATATTTTCATTGACTCATTAAAAACTCTGTGAAACAGGAATTGTCCCCATTTTACAGATGACAAACTTGAGGCTGAGAAGACTAATTCATATTTCTAAAGTCAAACAGCCAATTCCTAAAGAAAAGATTCAAAGCCTGGTCCAGCTTATCCCAAACCCTGTGCTCCAGCCACTGGGCAACACTGCCTAAATTGTTGCCTTCTTCTCAGAAGAATAAACAGCTTAAGGTCTCAAACCCAAATGTAATTGTCCACCAGAAAAGTCATCCCCACCCCATTACTTAGGCTGAATACTTTCCAGAGCCATGGTCCTCGTAGGGTACTTTGTAAGAAAATAAAGGAAAGGCAAAGCTCCTACCATCTTTGTCCTTGGCAAGTCTCTTCCAGTGTAATGGAGATAAAGATACCACCCGGCACAAAGGGACAGAGTGACATTCATCCTAATGCCACATGTGTTGTGTTGCAAGGGCCTGTTAGCTGCCACAGAACAGACACCACATCCCAAACTCATCTCGGTGTCCCAAGCCTCATCAGTGCCTGGTTCTTGTTAGTATTTGTGGTGTGAATGAATGCATGTACAAATGGATGAATGTGTAAAAGTTTAAATAGCTACCGCTGTCACACGTTTTTGTCCTGTAGTCATCAACTGAGCCAGCAGTGGAAAGAGTTAGCACAGGACCAGTACAGTACACAATGTACGTGGTGGCTCCAGTGAAAACCAGCCATTGGCATTACTGCCATTGGTACAGCTTTTAAGAGCCAGTTCTTCTGGGAGTGTTTCCAATAGTCCACTACTGCCTGTTTCACGACCTTCGACACCAAGCAAAGTTACAAGTTTGTTCTCAGTCAGCATGCAGTCCTGCACTAGATCTTCCCCACCTTTGGCCATAACTACTTTTGCCTTTGCAGCCTCCATCCTGCACCCTACATGTCCTCGTGCCAAGAGACGTCTACCCTCCCAGCGTGACGCACAGGGTCCCAAGATTTACCACCCTCTCTCCTGTTTCCACTTTTCCAAGAGTTTCCTAGAACCTTCAACTCAAAACAGAAACAAGTCCACCACCTTGGACAGAGACAGCTCGCTATACCAAGGGCTACTCAAGGTTCACACATCACAGTTGCATCTCAGTAGGGACTTCCTTTACAGGGTCTTAATCCAAAGGAGTGTCTCCAACAGTGGGACACAAGCTTCAGCGTGGTCCTTGTCACAATCAGACCATGAGGTGGCACCATGTTCTGTCTCACCACAGCAAATCTAGAATATAGCTTATTCCCTTCTTGCCTCTCTGAGCTAAGAAGAGGTCTATAGTTAGAGCTTACATCCAGGTATGGATAATCCTGCACCAGGATCCCAGTCATCTCTGACCTGCCACCACTGGGTGACTGAGCAGAGAGGAGTTAGGGCTCCTTGTAACAACAGGCCAAACCTCAAATGACCAAGAAAGTCAAGTGCTCCAAGGAGGAAATGGAAATGCAGTCCAAAATCAAGACAGGATTTTCAGCCTCTCTCAGGGCCTCAGTGTCTCCATCTCATAAGATGATATTTTGCTAAGGAGTTCTCTCATTCAGATATCCAGAAGTGCTCCATCTGCGTTCAGTGGATTCAAAAATGATTCTCCAAACCAGGCCCTAGAAAAGCTCACAGTCTGACAGGGGAGATAAGACAAAAAAGTGTGTGTAGCGGGGTGTGTTACAAGTGGCGTTCCCAAACGCTGATCAAAGAAACGCTCAGGAGTCTCGCAGCAAGGCAAAAATAAAACAGTTTCATTTCTATAGAAGGTGCAGCCACAAACCATAGTCTGATGGGCAGAACACACCTGAACGGGAAGTCCACCTAGGTTACATCCCTGACGGATTTCTGTCCCTCACAAGGATTGGTCCACCTTGGGCTCACAACTCTTCATAGCTTGGGACAAGGACAAGGGTTTCTGACACAGTGGCATTTTAAAGTTCAATGAGAGAGTAATTACTCATGGTTTACAGCTCAGTGAGAGAGTGATTTCTTAAGGCCCGCTGCAGACAGGGGACAGGGCTGACATTCTACAATTTAATGAGAGAGTGATTACTCATGGTTCCCTAACATAGCTGGAAGAGGGATTAACATACTCAAAGGAATGAAACTTTAAGATGGCAAGCAAGCAGTTTGAGATTGGGACATCTGGTGATAAACAGGTCTTTGTTTGACCACAAGAACCCTGCAGGGTCGAGCGACATTTCACGAAGCACATAGGCAGCAATTTGGGGAAGTTAGCTAGCATCTACGCAATGATACATTAACTGCTTTGACAGAAAAGACCTGACTTTAGTTGATTCTCACAGGTAGGACATGGTTCAAAGGTATGAAATGTTCTGTAAAGTATAATCCCATTTTTAAAATATGTAAATATTTATACTCAACAGAAAAATCTGATTATGCAACAAAATGTGATCTTTTGGTCGGATATAGGTGGCACACACCTGTAATCCTAGCACGGAGGGGGCTGAGGCAGAAGCATCATGAGTTTGAGACCAGCCTGGTACACAGAGAGACCCTATTTCAATTAGAAATGAAAAAGGGAAAAAATGTGAGTTTTCTGCATTGCAGAGTTATTCTTGCCTTTAAAATTTGTTTGCATTTTCTGTGCTCACATTTTTTTCCACAGAGTAGAACTGATAACATCTTTTTACTTAAAAGGCCTATTTTGTACTTTAGTTTAGATCCCAGCTGTATGGTATGAAGGTGCTGTGTGACCAAGTCTCGGTTGTCTGATACTTAAAATGGAAATTGCTTTTAATTTGGCATTGCCATAGATGATTTGGGCTCTGAATTCAGAGGGATGAGATAATCACGTTTCTGGGTCATAACGACTCATTGTCATCCGTCTATGCCATTCTCTCTTTCTTATTTTACTGATTTATTTCCTTTTATCCCCATTCCCTAATCCAACGTCCATCTGCCTTCAACCGGAGGCAAACGTTCTGTGCTTAAGATGTTTTCTTTTACTCCTAGAGTGTTTTTGCAAAAGACATATGGCTGTTTGGTGAGTTATGTAACATAAGTCTCATTCTGTTTTTTCATGAACAATGATGTATTTAAGATTTTTTTCCTAGCCAGTGACTCATGCCTGAATCCTAGATACTTGGGAGGCTAAGATCGGGAGGACCTTGGTTCTAGGCCAGCCTGGGGAAAATAGTAAGACTCCATCTCCAAAATAACCAAAGAAAAAATGGACTGGAGGTGTGGCTCAAGTGGTGGAGTGCCTGCTTTGAAAGCACAAAGCCCTGAGTTCAAACTCCAGTACTGCCAAAAAAGAGAGAAAGCTCTTTCTATTTCTGTCTGGCCATAGCATCCTGAGTCACTTAAGACCGATAGTCTCCATGTTTACATCTACCCTAGGCTACATTTCCCTGAAGGGACACCATGTTTTATCCTACTACCTGTCACCACAAACAACACTGCCAGAAACATCCTCATACATGCCCCTTTAGGGACCTGTGTGGCAATTCTTTGAGATCTGGGCTCCAGAGCAGAAATGTTGAGTCTCCACGTGTATATACACCTAACTGGACCAAGGGGTGCCAGAATTTTCTCTAGAAGTCTACACAGACTGTGCCCCAGCCAGCCACACATAAGGAAGGAAACTCAGGCCTGATCCCTGCCTCCCTGCCTCCGGTGGAGGCAGATACAAGTTATATTTCTTTGTGGTTTCCATTTGAGGGTGGGATGTGGTACTGGGGTTTGAACTCAGGGCTTCATGCTTGCTAGGCAGGATCTCTATGGCCCTGTACAGCTTAAGCTACCCTCCAGCCCTTTTTTCTCTGATTATTTCTGAGATAAGATCGTCTTTTTTTTTTTTTTTTTTTTGCCCAGGCTAGCCTGGGCTGCCATCCCCCTATGCCCCCTGACTTAGCTGAGATGGCAAACAGGCACCACCACACCCAGATTTTCTGTTTCCGTCAAGATGGGGTCTCACCAACGTTTTTGCTCAAGCTGGCCTGGAATTGTGAACCTCCTGATCTCAGCTTCCAGGGTAACTGGGATGACAGGTGAGCATCACTGCACCCAGCTATTGGTGGAGATGAGGTCTCCAGACCTTTTTGACAGGTTGGTCTAGAGCCCAGATTCTCCAGATTCCAGCCTCCCAAGTAGCAGGGACTATAGGTGTGAGCCACAGGAGCCCAGAATGGTTTCCATTTTAACTTGTTTAACTGCCAAGTATTGGCGACATCTCTTTGTATGTGCATTATTTTGTAAATTGCCTGTTTATTTTCTTTGCTTGAATATCTACTGGGAATGTTGTCTTTTTCTTGTTGATTTGAGGAGTCCTTTACATTCTAAGAATCAGCCCTTGACTGTTCTGGACATTGTGAATGACTTCTCCCATTCTTGCCTTGTGCATCGTCCTTCGGAAGTGCTAAGTCATTTTTCTTCACCCCCAAATCCCATAGTCGTTTAGATTTACCTTTACCTTTAAAGGGTCGCCTTCTGCATTTAGGTCCCTAACACATATCCTGCTTGCATGGAAAACCCATCAGCCTAACCAGCATCTTGTGAAGGGTACAATACTGTAAGTCAGGTGCCTGGCACAGAGAGCCTGAACCAAATGCAATTAGGAGTGGCTGTCATTATCACTTGGGTAAATGAAATACAGTGCCCCAGAACCCCACACGGAGAGGAACTTAGAAACTGTCGGTGCAGATCAGCAAAGAGTTCACCGACAGAGAGGAAGTCACTGAGGTTGGTCCTACAAGTGAATGTAGGATTCGCTCTTTGTGAGGTAGACAGGCAAAGAAGTCAGCCTGGGGAAAGAACCCAGGGCAGGTCAGTCGGGCATCCTGGGGACTCACCAACTGCTGTCTGTCTTTCTGCCCGCTCCCCTTGCAGGCTCCCTGTTCTCCACCCTGAAGCCCCCCGACGCCGTGTTCAAGGTGGTGTTCTGGCTGGGCTACTTCAACAGCTGCCTCAACCCCATCATCTACCCGTGCTCCAGCAAGGAGTTCAAGCGCGCCTTCCTGCGCATCCTCGGGTGCCAGTGTCGCGGTCGCCGCCGCCGCCGTCGCCGTCGCCGCCTGGGTGGCCGCGCCTACACCTACCGGCCGTGGACGCGCGGCGGCTCGCTGGAGCGCTCGCAGTCGCGCAAGGACTCGCTGGACGACAGTGGCAGCTGCCTGAGTGGCAGCCAGCGGACCCTGCCCTCCGCGTCGCCCAGCCCCGGCTACCTGGGCCGCGGCGCGCCGCCACCCGTGGAGCTGTGCGCTTTCCCCGAGTGGAAAGCGCCCGGCGCGCTCCTGAGCCTCCCCGAGCCCCCGGGTCGCCGCGGCCACCGCGACTCAGGTCCGCTCTTCACCTTCAAGCTGCTGGCCGAGCCCGAGAGCCCCGGCATCGACGGGGACGCCGGCGATCGCGGCTGCGAGGCCCCCGCCGACGTGGCCAACGGGCAGCCGGTCTTCAAAAGCAACATGCCCCTGGCACCCGGACAGTTTTAGGGTCCCCCCGGGGGAGGAAAGCATGGAGGGGGGAGGGCAGGGCGGAGGGAGGGAGGGGAGGGTCAGCTCCGGGCGGACAGGGCCCATGGGGACACGGGGTGGGGGAAGGGAAGGGAGGGGGGTGGGGAGAGGGGCAGCTGCTTCTTGGGCAGAAGCATGGAAGCTGAGAGCCTGGGGGACCCGACGCCGGCCGGGATTTCCGTCTCTCTCTCTCTCTCTTTTCTCTCTTCTCTCTGTGTATATGTATATATATATAAAACGAGTCCCTCTTAACACGTATTTAACTGTGGGTACACGTGCGTGTGTCTGTGCGGTGTACATGTGGTCTGCATGTGTGCGTGCGTGGGGCAGAGCGAGTGTGCGCCCGCCCGGGGGGACCTGGAGGGGGGGCCTTGTTTGTCTTGTGACTTTGTACCTCTCAACCCCCTCCTTGATCTTCACTGAATGATGGCACTTTGATGGAGTTGGAAACAAAGTCAGACATTAAAGATCATTTCTCCTGTGCGGCTTTGGAGTAGTTTGTGAAAGGGGCAGGCAGACAGGGACTTGCGTGTCCTTTCCCTTCCCTTCAGATCGGGCTGGTTCCTAGATCTTAGGGTGTTCTTAGGACCCAGCTGCAACCAGGGCTGCCTTGTGGTCTGTGGGTCAGAGTTACTTACCTAATTAGTCCCCATTTTCTGCCTTGGCATTACTGCATCCAGGGCTTAATAAATCTGGCTGGTGTTTGAAAGTGACCCTTGGATTGGTCCATAAGTGCTGCCTACCTTCTTGGGACTCTTGCAGCATCTAAACCTTTCTGCTTTGTCTTCTGTTGTGACCACACTAAGTGATGAATGACTTGACACTGAATTCTAGCTAGGGGCTCCTGACCAGTACCCTAGGGAGGCCTGTCCCCTGTGAGGGGATGAAACAGGGAAAAGAGATGAGCACTTCCTTTTCCTTCCCCTCCCTCCCCACTCCCCCTGACCAAAAAAAAAAAACCACTCCATTGCTTGCCTGTGCCCACAGAACTGAAAAGAAATCCAGGCTGTGGAAGTTTCTGGGCAAGGTTCAGATCCTTCTCTTCCAGCACAGGGGAGGGAACCCTCCAACAGCCTGCTCACTTGTGACTGCCTGGGAAAGAAGCATTAGGCCAAGTCGCAGGAGAGGCAGAACACACCTGCCTCTCAGGTACCATTACACCCTCCCCACCCTGCTACTATCCTGGGCCTGACCTCAGGCTTCTCCTGGCCTCTGTAGAAAATAGGGGGCACTAGGAAAAGAAAAGGTTGAACCCCATCTTCAAGGAAGAAGAAATAGTTAGAAGCAGTTCTCCAAAAACATTTGTTAGCTACACAAATCTTCTCAAATAAATTTTATAGGAATCCTGATGTAAGAGTGTCCCAGAGTGGACAGGACAGAGCCTGACCTCATCAGCCTCCTCCACCCCTTTACTACCCTTGGCCCTTCCCGGGCCAACCAGTCACCCTGGGACTCCATGTAATGCTACCTGAAAATCACTGCTCTGGTAAAGAAAGGGAATCTGGAGCCAGTAGGACTTGGGTTCAAGTCTTGGCTCTGCATGACTGTGAGCAATTCATCTTGTTTCTTCTGAGCTCTTTCCCCACCCAGCAAACAGATGTGATCATCATCACCCACCAGGAAGCACAAAGGATTCAGTGAGAGTCATACAGTGCAAACAGACGTGTGTGTAAGTGACTGGACAGATGCCAGCTAAAATTTGGACCTTGGGTATCTGAAACTACAGGCACCAAGGGCATCACCTGAGCTGCTCAGACCTGACTACTTCATTGGTTACTGGTATTTGGAGGTCACCCAGACAAAAGGGAGACTTCCAGGAAGCAGACTGGCCAAGCAGTGGCTCTCATCCCCAGAGAGCTTTCCCTAGCTAGAGCCTGCATTGTGAGGGTCTCTCCTGATCCTTCACTGTGATCAGGCCAGGATGGGCAGAATTCCATCAAGAGCCCCAGGGCAGACAGGTCCTCTCTGCCTTCAGCTCCCAACAGAGTGACTGCTTTGACCTCTCCAGTCACCCAAACACCTGAAGTCTTAGGACCCCCACACTGCACTCCTTTTTGGGTCTGCCCACCTCCCATTAAGGGTGTATTTTTGTCTGCTCTCAGTTTTTTACATAAATAAACCTGCCCCAATGCTCGTATCAGAGCTGCAAAGAACTCCCTGCGCTCAGTTGCCTGCTGAATCTCTGTGCTCTATAAACCTCTTGCTTCTCCTACTTGCTTGTCTTGGGAGTTTCTTTTATTTATTTATTTTTTTATATTTTTGGTGGTACTAGGGTTTGAACTCAGGGCCTACACCTTGAGCCATTCCACTAGCTCTTTTTTTGATGATGGATTTTGAACTCAGAGCTGAGTTCAAATTCCTTTTGGACTACTCACCAGCTGTGGGTTCCCAATTGAGATTTTCACCTCCAGAAGCTCAGTTTCCACATTGGTAAAACCCACATCTTGTAGAATCTTCTTCACACAGGTGCAAATAGTCAATGACATGACATACTCTACTGTGATAAAACAGGGAAAATCAAGAGTCATAGAAGGTTTGTGTTTTGTTTGTTTCTTTGGCAGGAGAGGGTTGGTGGTACTGGGGTTTGAACTCAGGGTCTAGCAAGAGTTCTACTGCTTGAGGCACACCCCCAGCCCTTTTTTGCTTAGTTATTTTTCAGATGGGGTCTTGCTTTTGCCTGAGTCAACCTCAAAGTGAAATCTTTCTATCTATTTCTCCAGCATAGTTGAGATCACAGGCAGGAACCACCACACACAGCTTTATTTGTTGAGATGGGGTCTCACTAACTTTTTGCTCAGGCTGCCCTTGAACCACAATCCTCCCCCATCATCACCTTCCAAATCTCCACCTCCCAAGTAGCAGGGATTTAGTCACAAGCCACCATACCTAGTCTGTTTGGTTTTTTTTTTTTTTTTTTTTTTGGTTTGGTTGTTTGGTTAGTTGATTGGGGTTTTTTGTTTGTTGTTATTTTTGAGTTTGACTATGGCTTGAACTTGAACTTTGTAATTCCAAAGCAAGTGCTCTACCACTTGAGCCACACCTCCAGTCCATTTTACTCTGGTTATTTTGGAGCTGGGGTCTCACAAACTATTTGCCCAGACTGGCCTTGAACCACAGTCCCCCTGATCTCAGCCTCCAAAGTCTAGCCTGTTTTTGTTTTTTTGTTTTTTTGAGAACTATTTACTTGCTGATCAATGGATCTGGAGAAAGGACTGAATGGAAGCTTGGAAATGTCTCCTTCCTCCAAGGCCTTTGGGTGACTGGGCGCCTAAGCAGTGCTGCCTCTGACTCTGGTGACAAAGTCTGGTCCCACATTGAAATCGAGAGCCTTATGCTTGGAACAAAGCAGGCTTTGAGCAAGTGAGACGTGAAGGGGGACAGCTCCCTCCAGCTCCCGACAGCTCCCTCCAGCTCCCTCCAGCTCCCTCCAGCATGGAGGTCAGGCAGCTTCAAGAAGTGGGACATAGTCCCAAAGGAAAAGGAGAACTTCCAGGTGCACAGGAACCAGGAGCATGGAGTCTTGTGGCTACTTTTAACATAACTTGCAGGAAGCAGTCACTATGGAGGTAGTATAAGAAAAGGAACCCACCCACCGGGGCTCCCAGGACCTGAAGTTTGGCAGATGAGGACTACAAGACAGGAAATATTGGTTATTCAATTCACATGACCTAATTGGCCTCTCTGCCTACGGGAGCTAGAGAGTCACTTCTGCAGGAAGTGTGAACGCAGAACCTGACTCTTTAATACGAAGTGCCAGCTGTTGGTACCAAGAGCTGCTGCTGCGGTTCTCAAATTCAGTGAGTAAAAGCATCACTGCAGGCGCTCATTAAAAATATAGACTCAGGCCAGGCATGGTAGTACACACCTGTAATACCAGCTACTTAGGAGGCAGAGATCAGGACAGCGGAAGTTCAAAGCCTGCCTGGGCAAATAGCTCTTGAAACCTATCTTGAAAATACCCAACACAAAAAAGGACTGGCAGAGTGGTTCAAGTGGTACAGTGCCTGCTTTGCAAATACTAGCACCTGCTTACAAGCGTTAATACCACCAAAAAAAAAAATGCAGAAGTTGGGGTTTTTTGGCAAAAAGTTATGGAGGCCCCATCCGAACAAACGGGTGTGGTAGCATGCTCTGTAATTCCAGCTAATTGGGAGGTGTAGATAGGAGGAGCACAGCGTGAGGCTAGCTCCTAGACAAAAAGATAAAGGATGGTGCTGAGAGCATGGCTCAGGTGATAAAGTGCATGCCCAGCAAGAAGCAGGACCTTGAGTTAAAAACTCCAGTACCATTAAAAAAGAAAAACACAGACCCAGTCACCACTCACTTCCTGCCCCTTCCAGCAGGTGGAAAGGAAGAAGAGTCAGTACTCTGCATTCTTAGGAAATGTCGCAGCCCATCATGGCTTCTCTGGTTGCCCCATCTAGATGACTTACAATGCCATCTGTCTTCAGGGACCCACTTTGCCAAGTGCTAAATTGAAAGAGCCACTCCCTCTCTGTCCCCAGGCTCAATCATGCAACTGCCTCTGTCGTAAGGCTCTGAGAGCCTCCAGTGGCTTCAGATCTCATCTGATGCCCTGTGTCCCAGTGGCAAAGAAGGCGAGGCCTCCTCGGGCCACTCTTGCCACCCAGCATCCCTCCTGCAGACACTGGGAAACAGTTCCTTAGACCCTGCAGTGTCTGCCACCACCCCTGGCCACTCCCCCTGGGCAGGTGCTTGGAGTGGGACAGGCTGGACACTGAGGCAGACAAGAGCGCCACCTGCCGTCCAGCGCGACTGCACGACACGAAGCTAAAGAAATCACTTTTGCAATACCACTTCTGATCCTCTGCAGCCCCTCCACCCTGGGCTGGCTTTGGTGTTTCAGCTGCAACCGAATATTCCGGAAAGTTTAAATTCAAGGTGCTTAACTTGGGATCTGTGTGTGCATTCAAGGAATCTGGGAACCTCCGAAAATGTGCAGGCTGTGTGTGCCATTTTCCTGAGTCTAACAACGTCACTGTCTGTGGACCACGTGCAAGACAAAGCACAAACCATTGCCGGTAAGTGCTGACCAAGCAGACATGTCACTTCTCGTGGGCCTTTACTGTGTGTGGCAGTCTGAAGAATGACCTTCCACGTATGTCCACATTCTGTTTT